AGTCGGAGGTTGCTTCTAAGTGGATGGCCTTCGTGCTGAAACACATGAAGACACACACGTAGTCCTTCGTGATGAGGCAGGCGCGGCCAGTATAATTTTTAATTTCAAACGGGCCCGCGTAGTCAATGCCTGTATAAGTGAACGGAGGAGAAAAAGTACTACGTGGGGCCGGAAGGCTGCCCATCAGCTGGGTCTGCAGTCGCTTTTTATACACGACGCAGACCTTGCACGAGTTGATGGTTGCCTTGGCCAAATTCCGCAGTTTGGGGATCCAATATTTCGCCCGGATGAGGCTGACCGTCAGCTGGTTTCCGCTGTGAAGGGTTAGTCGATGGACGAAACGGACTAGGAGCCGTGAATAGGCGCAGCTGTACGGCAAAATAACCGGATGTCGCTCGTCGTAGGTGAGCGCGTCGGAGGAAGACAGTCGGCCGCATGCCCGGATGATACCGACATCATCCATAAACGGATTTAAGTTGAGGATGAAGCTGCCGGAGGATATCTTCTTTCGGTTTGACAAGGCGCCGCATTCAAGAGGGTCCTTTGGGTGCAAATCGTTAGGATCTGCTGGGTCCGGACCAGCTCCTGGTGTGTCAGCTCCATGGAGGACGGAGAAGAAGCCTTCCGGCCGCCTTGCACAAACCGTTGGATGTACGCCATGACCCTAAGCGCTCTCCCGAAGTCGGAGAATCGCTCAAGAAACTCTGGAGCTGAAGGCAGTGTGGCGAGATGCGTTTGGACGCGGCGTTGTTCCATGTCCGTCTCTTGTGGGGGCTGCTCTTGAGCAGGCCAATTCTCTCTCGGCGTCAATCCGTCCAACACTGAGTCGGAAAGCTACTGATCGGAAGGTGTGGCAGAATCGAAGCACACATGTCGGCCAATAGGACTGCGCCCCATAGCTCCAGACGTGGCAGTGACACCGTTTTGGTTGGGGCCACTCTCGTTTTTGCTGTAAGGAGATGGACTCGGACTTCACGGAACTCTACTCGGACGTAGACTGCGGCTCCGTACGCCCGCTGTGATGCGTCGCAGAAACCGTGGTATTGATACAGGCAATCAGGGTGGAAATCGACCCATCTCGGGATTCGGATCTGGTTCAGCTCTGGGTAGGTCTGCATGAATATTTTTGACTGCACGATGACCGGGGCCAGCCAGCCTGCCGGATCAAACAGTTTCGATATTTGAGACAGGACCTTGCGCTTTGTAAAATGGAGCTCCTTCTCCATGCCATTTACAATGAAGAGGAAATCGTCGGTGGTGGCCTTCCAGCGAATACCCAGTGTTTTGGCCAAGCTGGCTTCTTCCTGGTCCAAAAAGTCGGCCCGCAACAGGTGCTCTACCGGGAGACTCCGCAAAAGCTCCTTCTCGTTTGCCGTCCATTTCCGTAGCGGAAAATCGGCAACTTCAAAAGCCTTCTGAAGTTGCCCAATCGATGACAACGTGTCCTGCCTCGAATGCGCGCCAGTTAGCACATCGTCCACGTACATGAATTCGGTCATGATTCGGCTGGCCAGTGGGTACTGCGCTTGTGAGTCTTTGGCCAGCCGCTGAAGCACTCGGATGGCCAAGAAAGGCGCACAGTTCACCCCAAAGGTGACTGTGTCCAATTCGTAGTCGCACAAGTCCCCATCTAGATTGCGGAACAGGATCCTCTGAAACGGAGTGTGTTCAGGGTCGACTCGTATTTGTCGATGCGTGGTGAGGGAGGTAATAATTGGAGCGGCATGTTGGCGGAAAGACTTGGCGCATGTGCCCCAAATCCAGGTAATCCTGTATGACCGCGTCATATTGCGCCTTCAATTGCGCGTTCCGCTTTAAACGCGCCTCATTCCTCAAGAACTGAGCCAGCGCGATCGATCTCGAATGGCCCAACTCGACGCTTTGCGGATCCTTGAAAGGAAGCGAGACCAAGTATCTCCCATCCGCCTGTCTTCTGGTCGTGCGCTGGAACAGCTGTTCGCAGACCAGATCTTCTGCCTTGGAGCGGTTGGCTGGGACTTCCTCCACCTCCCAAAACTTTGTGAGCAACGGGTCAATAGTTGGCTCATTATCCAGTGTCACCCTTGTTGCGAACGATGAGATGGAAGTTTCGCCAGCGGACACCACCGGACCAATCAGGATCCAGCTGAACACGGTTTCTTGAGCCAAATATATTGGACTTTGCTCCGGCCAAAAATATGGAAGGTAGGATGTCAGCGCCGATGAGCATGTCTACTGGCGAGCTGATGTAAAAGGTGGACCCCGCCAGAGGCAAATATGGCAGATTTTTCAGTGCCTTTGGAGGGAATGAGCACGATGGAATATTCCCAGCCAAGCGTGGTAGGACAAAAGCCGATGTCGACCATTGGCTGGGTAGGCGAGAGCAGCTTAAAAGTGCATACCTTGGTGGTATGACCCGAGACCGTTCTATTGAGCCCGGAAACTTGGGCTCGAATTCTTTTGAAGGGCAGCTGGAGCCTGCTGCGTAAACGCTCTGAAATGAAAGTTCCCTCGGAACCTGAATCAATCAGAGCGCGTGCTGTGTAAACGGTGCCCACGTGAAGAAATCTGACGATGGCTGTGCCTAATAGCACGCCTTGGGTCTGCGAGGAAAAGTAAGTCTGGACATTAGGCGGAGTGGACTGTATTTCGTGGAGTGACGACGGAGGAGCCAATGTGGGAGGCGCGAGTGGAGATGGGGCACCGCGGTGCATTAACGTATGATGGCGCCCCTTACATGTGGAACAGGTGTACTGACTCGTGCAGTCCTTCAGCTGGTGCCCTCTGGCGAAGCAGTTCAGACACAGCTTTTGCTTCTTTATCACACCAGAACGCTCCTTTACCGTCATCGCGAGAAAACGCGGGCATAGACGAATTGGGTGGTTTTCTCTGGAGCAGAGGTTGCAGGTCTGCGCCTGTACGCTGACCTTTGCCTCAAACGAGTTGACCTTCCTCGCCGCCGGCTCCTTTTGAGCTGGCTTCGTCACGCGGACGCTGGTGCTCGATCGCACATCACTTATCGCTTCGAGAGTTCGATAGCGATCTGACAGGAACTGGTTCATATCGGACCAGGGAGGAATCTCAGTCTTCTCTTCAACGGACTGTTCCCATAAAGAAAGGGTCAGCTGTGGGAGTTTGGTGGAGCAGAAAAAGACTAAGCCGCAATCCCATTTCGGATAGACGCGAATTGCTAATGTACACAGCCGTAAAAAGATCCCGGAACGTAGGCCATTTCAAATAATCGCCAGAGAACACCTCGGTATCCACTGGTGGAACATTGAAGCCCCGAGCTTCGACAGCAGGCGCCGGGGTATTGTGTGAGGCGGATGCCTGTTCAATCTGCCCGGATACCAGACAAACACCCCGCTCGTAGACGCGATAGCAATTTTCGTATCTAGATTGCATCGCCTGCTTATCAGGAATACCGGCCTCTAACTGGTTTAGAACACGACCGCTTTTCTTGCTCAACCCTTTCCCAAAGGACCTTGACTTGGTCTAAATGAGTCTTGAGCGAGGCAATTGGATCTGATGCGGATGAGGAGCCCAAAAGTGCCTCGAATTGGCACAGGTTATCGCTAACCGAAATAAAGTTTTCAAAAGCCATTTGAATTTTTTGGGCCGCAATCTGGACAGCTGATCGCGTAGCTGGACTTGTTCTCGTTGCAACTGGAACTTCCAAGGAGCCCTTCTCATTATCGCTTGGCATTTTGAGATTCCACACGAGCCAGACAAACGAGAAGCAGAAGTGGGAGCGCGATAGGCGTTACGGATGGACACGGACGATATGCGCCGAATTCAACAATTGGCGTTTAGGACTACGCCTCGCTTGTTGGCGATGCAAAGCAGGACACAAAAAAATAATGGAGGTGGAAGAATCCTTAATTCGGCTTCGCTGGGTGTCCCAATATGGCTTACGCACCGTACTGCTCGTAACCAAACACCTGGAGGTACCGTTTGGCTCTTTGGTGAGTACCGCTAATACAGCTGGAGACGCTGAATAATTTCGAAGAACCAGCAAGAAGAATAAAGGCGGCCACACAGAACTTGGTTAATGGCACCGAATTGACGATGGATGAATGTTTGCTACGGGATTGGCAGCCCCGATGAGATACCGATAGAATCGTTCTATGAGAACGGTAACGGCGATAATTAAATTATTTATTAAATTTGGTTCCCTTCTCATGATGCGCTGAAATATTGCGACGAAAAATCCAGAATGAATAACCACAGCCAGCAAAACAATCAAAACTCCGTTTAAGTAAAGTTGAGGAAACAGCGCAGCAACAAAATATATGTGCACTTAATATGGTGAAAAACCAGCTGAAATATGCGATGAGGATCCAAAAGAAACAAAAAGGCACCAAAAATTTAATTTGTATTTGATTTTATTAAGTTCCAGCTGTGATAAAATCACTGCCGCCAGTAGCAATCGGTTCTACTGGATTATCGAAATTAATCAATTAATTATCTGCTACTCGTGACCGCGACTAGTATTTGGTCACACTCCAATTTTCGACAACTGTGACTTTGATTATTTCCGATAAATCCAATGCACATCACTTGTTGCTTAATTGGGCGATTAAAATGTTTAAGCGAAAAAGAGATTGTTGCCTCGCGTAGTAAATTGATGATGACTCGGTTCGTTTGCCCGTAGGTCTGCCAATAAATGTGTATGCCAATAGATGTGTTGGCTGATGATGGCGCGGTAAGGAAATGGTGCGAAGTTTGTGTTATGGGTTAGTGGAAATGGATAAAACGTAAACAAAACCCATATATGTATAGTAAATATAACCAGGCGCGGCAAATATATGCTGTGCCGGTATGTGGTGTTAGGGTTTAGGTTATATATGTGTGGATAATGTGTATATAATATATACATACATATGTGTCGATGCAATATACAATGTATGTAATGTATATATGTATGTGGAATATATGTATGTATGTATGTAAATGTAGTCAAATGTGGATTTGAACTATATATATGTATGTATGTCGTATGTGTAACGTGCAAGAGTATAAATATATACGCATATATTTATTGTGCTTGGAAACATGCAAGCGTTAAAAAATATGTTTCTTGTATGTGGAACATGCAAGCAATAAGAAATATGATTGTTGTATGTGACGGTGATTGTGCAGTGGTAATGTGTTCAGGCGGCAAATCCAGTTGTGTTTTTCACTGGGCACTTGTTGCATATGTGAGTGAATATGTCCCAAGTATGCCGAAATGCAATCGCGAACGGACAGATAAGTTTTATGTTGTGAATTAATGCACTTTATTTCTTGTATGAGCTGACCGGCGCGGTACCAGCCGTATACAAAGGGGCCCTTGGATCAGGGACGGAAAGCGGGATGCGGATTCCGTTTTGGGGGTCGGCGGCCAGACCGACAGAGAGACCAAAAATGGCGTGAGTATTGAGCCGAAAGTAAATTTATACATAGCTGTGGTTCTCCTTATAGGACTCCAACGCCAGGAACAAGCTGGGGCGACCGGATGAATTGCACAGAACGAGGGATATTGTCGGAGGTGCAATCTTGGAGAGATCTGGCTCGAAGGACCATGTAAAAAGGCGCAGGGCGTCAGGGCTGAGAGGTCAAAAGTCCACTGGCAAATAAAATGGCGGCTTTTCAATTTTCACTGTGCTCTTCCGCACATATGTATTATTCCCTTGTCACAATTTTCAGACTGACCTTAACCTAGTTGCCAGCCGGCCAGGAATGTTGCCAGCAGAGCGCTGCCACACCAACACCTACGAAATTGACTCAAAACATAAAAACACATATTCTTTAATACAAATACACATCACAATACCAATACGCGAGCTATTAGTTAAAATCCCAAATACACATACCCCTGCAACGCTTAATTGCATCAACGGTCAGCATAACAAGAAAAAACTCAAGTACACTGTCCATCATGGCATCGCAGCGAAGCCACAAAAATGGGAGATGATGAGCAACGCATTCTTACCGTGCTGCTGGAGCGTCTGGATATTATGGCTGGTGAGATGAAGTAGCTGCACGAGAGGGTAAACTCTTTGGAGCGTGAGGTCGGGGAGCTGTTGGTATTACGGGAGCGGGTCGGTGGGCTGGAGACGAAACTTGCTTCTCAACTCAATGCAAACATCGTATGTGACCTGCGAGTGCATGGAGTCCCCCACGCTAAGGGTGAAAATGCACGAGCACTGTACAGCGCCCGCTGTTTCGCCATCCAAGCTACACCACCGCCGAGGATACGGGAAATTTTCCGCACGAGGAAATCGCAAGTATCTACGGTCGATCCCGGCATAATAATTAGATTCTACAATGTTTATGAAAAAACACGTTGCTGAGGGCAGTCGCAGCTTATCGTCGAACAGATAAAAAACCACTAACCTTACAAATGCTGGCCTTTGACTCCCTACCCCCATATATGTAAATGAGCAGCTTTCAAGGGAGAATTATAGGGACATTTTGGAAATCTCCTTACAAAAAAATATTGCCCCGTCTTTTGTTGCCCGAACGAAAGGCAGTGCAACAGTACGAAAGATACGATTTGATGCTCGTGCACTGTGTTCGTCATCAAGTAACAATAACAAATATATATGGCAAGTCTCGCTACTTTGTTCGCTCGTCTAATTACACCAACAAATATTAGGCAAATGACGGTACTTTTTTAGCTACTTTTATATTTTGCGTTTCCCCTGCCTCAGATTGCTTTGTCTTGTTCTGACATTTAGTTTGCCTCAAAGTGTTGCATGTGACGCGTGTGTTACTTGCGTAGTCAAAAACAAATAGCGTTTTGATAGGTACAACATATAAAAAGGTACTAATGAAGTATTTATACAAATAAATGATATACTCGTACAATTAAAAAAAATTACAATTTCAGAATTGCATATAAATTTATTGTGAAGGCTCTACAGAAGACGAGTTGCGCAGAGTTCTGCAGCTGTCCAAGAAGAGGTCGTACAGAAGACAGGAGAAAAATATTAAAAATAAAGAGTTGATATAAATGTTAATATTTGTACACCTTAATTTAATGTATTAAGTAATTATTATGTATCCAATAAACATAATTCGGACGAATTAATTTTTATTTGTGTATTAATTTATCTGTCTGGCAGAGCTATACCCAAATGGGGTAATCACGGACTAGTTCATCACAGACCAGTCCATTGAATAGACCACTCGTTTAAAAGGGACCAGTCCATTTACTAGCCCGATGTTGGCGAGACGGGGACCACCCCCAAAGACTTTAGACCCATAAGTCTCTCATCTTTCCAAGTAAAGACGTTCGAGAGACTTTTAGGCTTCCATTTAAGAAGCAAGAATCTGCTCTCAGAGCTTTCAAGCTCTCAACATGCCTACTGTAAAGGCAGATCCACAGAAACGGCTCTCCACGCCGTTACTTCGAGTATTGAAAAGGCCCTCAGTACCAAACTTTACACACTAACCGCCTTCCTAGACATAGAAGGCGCTTTCAATAATGTGTCCCCAAACGCCATTACAAGCTCACTTACAAACCTGGGGGTAGACGACTCCACTGTGGAACTGGTAAGACAGCTTCTCACCAGGCGGTCCATCAAATCCACACTGGGGCTGTCCACATCATCCAGATATGTAAGAGCGGTGTTCTCTCACCCTTCCTATGGAACGTGGCAGTCAATACACTCCTACGATCTTTGGATGGCATATGGCTTATGCATATGATGTGACCATCCCCTTCTCGGGAAAATTCCCTCAAATTCTGTTCGAGCGCATAACCGATGCACTGAGCATACTGACTACTTGAGCGACGTCAAGTGGCCTAAGTGTAAGCCCCAGCAAAACAGAGCTGGTACTATTCAAATGGAAGTACAAAATTCCCCCTTTTCATGCCCTGTAAGGTTATTACCGCCGGCCAGAGTTTATGCTGTAAATAAATAAAGTGCCAAGGTGTCCGCCAATAAAAGGAGGGCGGTATGCCAAGTGAATATGTTTCCACGTGTTTTATTTCCTTACTTTAAAAACAGGAGGGTGCGCTTCAGTGCGCGTTCGACTAAAACAGAACTGCCCTACCAAAACTCCTTACATTTCATCAGCTTAAACTACTTGAACTTCATGGGCTTACAACTACTTATTACTACTACTCGACGCGTTGCGCAGCAGGCAGCCGCGCGTCGTTACAGCCCCATACTGAATGGGGTACCATTATCCTTCAGCAGTTCAGTCAAATATCTAGGCTTGATACTAGATAGGAAGCTGGACTTTAACCTGAATATCGAAGACAGAGTGAGGAAAGCCACAATCGCACTCTACACCTGTAGGAAATCCATTGGACGTATATGGGGCATGGCCCCGTACGTAGTCAATTGGCTACATACCTCAATTATCAGACCAAAACTCCTATATGGAGTCTCTATATGGTGGCCATCGCTGACAAGAAATTCGTCTCTTCAGAGACTAAATAAAGTTCAACGGCAAGCTGAACTAACGATCTCTGGTGCACTCCGCACCACCCCCAGCGACACACTAGATGCGATTCTGGGAATACTCCAAAAACATCTCATGGGGAAAATGAACGCCACGCTGGCGGCCCTTCACATGAGAGAAACCAACCAATGGTCAGAGGAATGTGTTGATCACGCCAAAATCCTGAGAGGAAACGACATAATCCCCTCAGTCACCGACTATTGTACCCCAAAGGAGTACCTCCATACTCCCTTTCACACCATCATTCCTTCCAGGGATGAATAGAATTTAGGCCCTCCAGGCCCCGAAAATTCAATAAAAATATATACAGACGGTTCTAAGCTAGGCAACCGCGTAGGCGGAGGTGTCTTCTGCGAAGAAATCGGCATCAGAAAAGCCTTCAGGCTCCCGGATCACTGCAGTGTATTCCAGGCCGAAATCAAAGCAATTCAAGAAGCTCTCTTCATACTGCCAAGCGCAGTTACAAACATCAGAGAAATCTGCATATATTCGGATAGCCAAGCGGCAATAAAATCCCTAGACATCCCTTCCAGACAAGGAGAGCATCGGTATGCCGATGGCCAACTGTAAACTGTCCATTCGGAACCACTTCGATTTCATTGCAAATCAAATGTGGACCAACGACACAAACCACCACAAAATCACACGTCAAACGTGGCCCATCCGCGATAGTAAACGGACTTTAGAACTCTGTAGGCTGAGCAGAAGCTAATGCTCACCTGTAATCACGGGGCACTGGCTGGTGGGCTTCCATGCCGCTAGACTACGACTTCAGCAGAACGACTTCTGTAGAAGTTGCAGAGACGAAGAAGAGGATGAAACAGTTTCCCACCTCTTCTGCGACTGCCCAGCCTTGTGTAGGACCAGACAACGCTCTCTAGGAGATGGCCACCTCCCAAATCTTTCGGAACTAGCAAAAAGAAAGCCGATAGACATTTCTAAATTCATCCGGGCATCCGGATGGGTGTAACAATTTGCGCAGGAATGCAGCCAACCACGGGATATGGTAAACGGACTTTGTCCTACCTACCTACCTTTGCTGAGCCCCGTGAAATAGCCTCGTTTAAAATGAGTGTTCCGCCTGAGGCTTTTACAATTATATGGGATCCAAAATGTTGGCCTCCACATATGTTTGTTCAGTTTAGGCAGAAAAAACGAGTCTCGTCACTGCCTGTTGATTTACAGCCTAGTACTCTTTCTTCGAAACCAACGTCAAGTATGGCTTCAAAAAACTAGACTCGCGACCTTTTTCGCCTAATATTCTGTATCAGAATGTTAGGGGTCTTTTGTCCAAGCTCGGGAATTTATTTCTGAGCAGTTTTTCTTTTGATTCTAATATTATTGCGCTTTCAGAAACGTGGTTAAATCCTACGATTTCTGATAATGAAATTTTATCAGATGACTTTTTTATTTTTCGTCATGATCATCCGATTCGTCGAGGCGGAGGGTTACTGATTGCAGTCAAACTCAACCTTCGGTCGGAAATCATTGACAGTGATGTGCCAAATGATGTTGAATTTGTTGCTGTTAAAGTAACTTTTCCGTTTTTTGCTCTTTACATCACTTGCTCGTATATACCTCCCTCTTCCGATATTCAAGTTTATATGCAACATATAACTTGTATTAAAGGAATTTCCACTCATCTCCGTGACAGAGACGCATTTGTTTTGCTAGGTGATTTTAAAGTGCGTAACATAGAATGGTCATTTTTCAATGAGTCCCATTTTTTGGTGCCCTCAGCAAAACATGAATTTTTGGATTGCCTGTTGGACCTTTCTTTGTTTCAAATTAATTCTATACTTAATCACCTCAGCAAATTGCTTGATATCGTCTATGTCACTGACCCTACTAGCGCAGTTGTCTCTAGGTCTTCACCCCTGTCAGTTCCTGAAGATACTTACCACCCTACTTTAGAAATCTCACTATCATTTTCAAATCACACTTTTATTCCTACACTTAATTCTAACAAAATACGTCGTTGATTTCGCAAAGGAAATTTTTCTTTGCTTTACGAACTTATTTTAGCAACTAATTGGTCCTTTTTGTACAGTGCAGTTGATATCAACATTTTCTATGACACTATTAATGCTCTTTTTGATGTCTGTATCGCAAATAGTGTCATATCGTCTGCTTCATCCAAACCTCCTTAGTTTTCACCAAGACTTTCAAACTTTAAAAATGTTAAATCTAGATGTTTTAAAAAGTATAAGCAGTCGGGCCTATCTCTAGACTTCTATAAATACTCTATAGCGAAATCGAATTTTGTTCTTCTTATTTAACGTTGCTATAATAATTACCTTGCCCGATGCAAGATGCAATTTGCACAGGACCCTAAACAATTCTATAAGTTCGTTAACTCTAAACGTAATACTGTTTCTCTACCTTCATAATTTTTCCTTGATGACAAAAAAGCCAGCAACGATTCTGAAGCTGCTGACTTGTTTGCCAACTTCTTCCAGTCAACTTATTCCTCTGTCTCTATTAGTAGTACCTCTTATCCTTATAGCATTTCATCTTCCCACACTATTTACGCTCCCATAATTACTGATAGCTGTCTACTTTCTGCTATCAAATCTCTAAAATCTTCATACTGTCCTGGAGCAGACAACATTCCTAGTTGTGTTCTCAAGGAGTGTTCTAGTTCCCTTTTACAGCCATTACTTAAAATCTTTAATCTGTCACTTGGTTCCTCAATCTTTCCAACTATTTGGAGAGAATCTTTTATTATTCCTCTTCATAAAAAGGGTGGTAAGTCTGATATTTCAAACTACAGAGGAATTGCAAAGTTGTCTGCCATACCGAAAATATTTGAAAAAATAGTTTGCAGCACTTTGCAGCACCTCTATAAATCTGTCATATATCATTGGGTCAACATGGTTTCATAAAGAGACGGTCTACTACGACCAATTTGCTGCTAAAAAATGCAGACTGATGTCGTTTACACTGACTTCAGCAAAGCATTTGACTCTGTGAACCATGATCTTCTCCTCTTTAAGCTATATCGTATAGGATTTCCCTCCGCTTTTTGTGTTGGATTTCGTCTTATCTAAAAGACAGATCCCAACGGATCTTGCTTAGGTCGCACATTTCTAAGCCTGTGTTTGCATCATCAGGTGTGCCTCAAGGTAGCCATCTTTGCCCCTTCCTTTTTACATTATGTATTAATGACCTCCCCGCTACCTTGTCACACTCTCATATACTTATGTATGCTGGTGATGTGAAACTTATTCTGACTTACAAAGACCCTTCTCATTTTCATCGCCTGCAGGATGATCTGAAATGCATGCAATCTTGGTGCTTAGCTAACCACTTGCACCTCAATTACTCTAAATATAAAATCATGACATTTCACCGAACCTTGCCTCATTTAGGGACGTATACGATTGACAATGTGCCATTGCAACGTATATCGACTGTTGAAGACCTTGGGGTTCTTTTCGATTCCAAATTGAACTTTAACCTTCACATATCCAGTATTGTCAATAAGGATAAGGGATTACTTGGATTCATTAAACGTTGGTCCAAGGAATTTAATGACCCTTATACCACTAAGCTTCTTTACACTGCTGTAGTACGCCCTGTGCTTGAATACTGCTCATGCGTTTGGTCTCCATAGTA